GAATTTCGATAAAAATTGGTCCGTGCTGTCGGACAACTAGAGCACTTATAAGGTATAATTCGAAGTAATTTTTACATGAACATTGGCAGGAAAACTGTGCCATATGTGATTTAGCTGAAATACGAACTAAATCTTTGAATAAAAATTAACATGCACTTAGACGAGTGCCTATCGAATAAATGATAGCATAGATATGCCCTTTAGATCAAAATAACAGGAGTATGTAGCCACTTACTTTGTGCAGATGAAACCAGGCTCTGCAACTAGCTACCCTGCACCAAACAAGGAGGTTATCTGTTGACAAACCAGATCTTAACTGTTGTCCAAAGGCTAGGATTATCTCAAAATGAGGACGTGGGCGCTGTCCAGCCTGATAACACTCAAGATCCTGCATGAAATCATCGTAATCAAAGATTTTTTCACGCTCACGCCGTCCAAGCTTGCGCATGAAAATGTGATCCCCATCGGAAGTTGGAACGTAAACGAATACGGCGCATTTACACATTCGCTCAACATATATACTTCCATGTGTTGCAGAAAGAACAATTCCGCGGACCATGTTCTCTAAGAGTAAATCCACATATGCTTTATTTGCATCGGAAACATGATGAGGGATTTGCGTCTCAATAGGATCTGGAGCAGCAGGAGAATTAATCTAGGGAAATGAATGCAGAGTTGAATAAGTTGTACATGATTAAATCAATGAAATAAATAAAGTAATAAGACTTGCCTCATCATAACGACCAAAAAATATGCAGCAGCCATTGGGATTGGTTACAATTGCATCTTTTACACGTATGTTGAGATGCTGTATTCGTATTCCGAGCTGATGATACTCCGGCTCCATGACATCTGGGAGAAATGCGACATGACCTGCAGCTGCGACGTTACTACCATGAGTGAAAGAGTTATTTGAAAGCACGCCAAGGTTAGAAAGACTTGAATGAGACTGGGGTTGAAATAAGAAGGAATGGCGATTATTTGGAGCGGCCAGACGTCGAATGATGGTTGTTGTGCCTAATGGATTTCCTTCTACACTCAAATATCTGGAATGTCCACCATTATAATTGTCATAGTCCGAGGAACCACAGCTAGGCACTTCTTGGGTTGCACCTATATCCAAATGATCAGTTGTAAGACCGCCATTAATACCAAAATCGGAGGCGTCATTTGACTCATCCTGTGAATCAACGACTGGATGAATTTGCTGCATTTGCTGCTGCTGAGAGAGTTGGAATTGTTTAATTACAACGCCTTCGTTTATCCTATGAATCTTTAATGCAAAATTCAGAATTAAAATTAAAAAATAAAATTATGAAAATCCAAATGATGAACTTACGAAAGCTATTGGGCGAGAGGTGGAATCTGAACCGTTAATTCTTTGGATAAATACAGCAGACCTCTTGGAGCCATTTGATGGAGGGGGCGCCACATTTTTGCGAGCTGCCTGGATGTGGGAAACGGGAGTAGGCATCATTGTGGAAACAGGAGATATTCCATCAAAAATCATACTAGCATTCCTGGTAGCATTTGCCCTCCATAGCGATTCCGTTTTGCTGATAAAACGATAAACTTTAAAAGGGTCATCGCAGTGAAGATTATGTCGCTGCTTAACCTCTTGAATATCTGGCGCCTTGTT